ACACACACACACACACACACACACAGAAATCCGAAGCAAGTCCCAGGCTCTGAGCTGTCAGCACAGAGCCTGATGTGGGGCTTGAACCCACAAACCGTGAGATCATGACCTGAGCCAAATTTGGACACTTAACCAACTGAGCCACCCAGGCACCTCTTTATTTATTTTTAAATGTTTATTCATCTTGAGAGAGAGAGACAGAGAAGAGAGCAAGCAGGGGAGGGGCAGAGAGAGAGGGAGAGAAAGAATCCCAAGTAGGCTCCACACTGTCAGTGTGGAGCTTGATGTGGGGCTCGAACTCAAGAACTGTGAGGTCATGACCTGAGCTGAAATCAAGACTCGGACTCTTAACTGACTGAGCCAGCCAGGTGCCCCCTGAATTATACACTTTAAATAGGTGAACTCTATGCTATGTGAATTGTATCTCCATAAAGCTGGGTTTTGTTTTTTCGTTTTTACTTTTTTTTTAGTTTAAAAAGTGTTTTTTTTTTTTAATAAAAAAATGAAAGGAAGGAAAAATAGTTAGCAAATGGGACAAGAAATAAATTAACACAATCTCATAGGGTCAGGAGGGAGAGTCAAAAGGACAAACTGGTCAGCAGTGCTAAATGCTGTAGGGTTCAAATAAAATTTAAAAAGGAGACATAATTGATAGAATATGGAGTTTCTTAGTGAGTTTTAAGTGCTCTTGTAGTAGAGAGGAAGCCATACTTTTGGATACATAGCAAAAGTTTAAGAACTGAATTGGGGGTGAGGGATCTATAGCAGCAGTTCTAGAAAATAATGAAATTTGAACAGTAGAAAACGGATGGAACCAATCTTGAGGAGACAGGAAGGTAAAACCAATTAAGACTGCAGTTTTTGTTTGTTTGTTTTTGTTTTTTATTTTTAGTATAAGAGACCAGTGCATGATGAAGGCAGAGGAGGAGGAGAGGTTTTAGGGCATTTCCATTAATTTCTTTTCTTGATGTTTCTTAGGCCTCATCACTGCTTCCCTGAGACTAAAAACTCTCCCCCAACAGCACATTTGCTGTGCCCTTTGAATGGTTTCTAGCACTAAACTATGCATAAATTCTCACTTAAAAAATAATGTTGGTTGTTTTCTGGCTTAGGAGAGCTACTCTATATATTAATGTCTGAAGGAGAAGAAAGGAAGGAATTTTTGAGGGAGAGAAATATACAAATACTATAGGCATTTTTTTTGGTTTATGTCAGAGGGACAGGAATAGTGCCCATAAATCCCGGGAGAAAAACATCGCTGCTGTCTGTGGCAGCTGTGAGCCAGCTCCTGAAGCCTGGCTTTCCAGATGGGATAGTTTCTCTGATGTGAAGACACATCATTCATCCCAACCACCTATCATTAACAAACATACGATCTCCCTACGCTCTCTCCCAGAAGGGAGCCAAAACTGCACGGAAACCCTCACGCCTTGCTGCATCTCCCCAAGTATGTACTCATAAGACCTATGGCGGAATCACAGTAAGAGATGAATAATGCCTGGCCATCTCCGGCCCCAGCCCCACACTTTCATACTACGCAGAGTTGCTGCAGGGTGAGGTGGGGAGGGTGTACCCTTTCTCCTTCTTTATACCTAGAGACTCTCCCCACTCTCTCAGAAAGTGGTGCCAATACTCCCTGAGCTGCTGGAGCATCTTCCACTTTGTATCCGAAACTGTGCATTTATCTCCCTGGCTACCCTTTGAGCTTCTCAAGAGGAGCAACTGGGCTTTATTAAATCTCCTTAAAGTCCCCAGTCCGGTAGCTGGCTCGCATTACGTAGTCACACTTTCTGAACAAATGAATGGATGGAGGAACATGACAGAGCTCTGTGAGATTACAGCTGCTGACGTGGTTGTATCCCGGTGTTCTTTTTCTGGGCCAAAGGGTTGTTTGTTTCCACCTCTCCATCCCTTTTACAGACTGCCTCAGCAGCTGAAAGTACACAATGGACCAGTGTGCCTTTCAGCAAGTAGAGTGAGCAATGGAAAATGCAGAGCATCAACCCTGAATGCAAGCGATGGCATGTTGAATGCAATTCCAAATGAAGAGAAAGTGATTATTTTCACTGAAATGCAGCGAAGCCTTCTGGTAGGGCTCTTTTTGGGCTCCATTTCTGGGAATCAGGATTGATAAAGCCATTGCAACAAGGCTCAGTACGCCCTCTGTTGGATTTAGCTGACATTTAGTACGCAGAACAGCAGAGAAACTTGCACACGTTTCATGGAGGTAGGTATGCAGGAGTAGGGCCCTTTCTGCAAAATTCTCTGTTAAGGCATCAAATGAGTCAGAGGTGTATTCACTGGACTATCCCTGGGACATACCTTGACTCATCCACAAATACTGACATTCTTTTTTGAAGAACAGAAATATTTTCCTAATGTGAAAGCCAGAATGGCATGGACTTAATTCCTTTTAGCAAGCATGCAACCACAAAAAGCAAATCAACCACTAAAAGTCCTCTTCAGCGTCTCCCTCACCCACTGTGAGGTTTAAATAATAAGTTCTAAGTCTCCTTTGATAGAAAACTGGATAAATAAGTACAGTACATCGATACACTGGGAAACAAGTCAGCTCTACAGGCTGTATGGAACAATCTTCCAGGTATATTACTAACTGAAAAAAGCAAAGTGCTGAGCATACAAATGTAGCAATATATTTAAATATGTATTTCTATAGAAGATTCCACAAGAGATTAGTAACAATTTGTCTCTTGGGAGAGAACTTACTTGTGCAGACATGGGTAGAAAGAAAAATTCTTTTCACTCTATTTCTCTGTGTCCTATTCAAAATCTGTATCTTGTGTGTCACCTGTGAAAATCATCTAACCAATTTAGAAAAGTAAGAATCTGGGGCAGAGGGCTGCCTCAGTCGGAAGAGCATGTAACAGGCTGGGTCAGTTGGAAGAGCATGTAACTCAGGGTTGTGAGTTCAAGTCCCACTTTGGAGGTAGAAATTACTTTAAAAAAAAATAAGAAGAACTTTATGAAGAGCTAGTAAGGTTTTCTACTGTCACTCTTCTTTTTTCTATAAGTCTTAGCAGTCCTCAATGGAAGCAAATTAAATGACTATAATACATTTTCTCTTAAATTCTAAAATAAATTGGTAATCTGTCAGTTCTGGCAGATCTGTATCTGCTAGTCATTGGGGCTATCTTGGACTGTCACAGATACTGAACTCTTTAGCTCCTTTCTGGCTTGGTGGGTTCTCTGAATGGACCTTTGTGGCCCGAGGCTCCCATAGGGCAGTTTTTCATTCTTCCTAATGATAATGCATGCCAGGCTAGAAGTGACCTTTTGCCAAGGCCATCGTCTATCCAGCTGGGGAAACCCAAGCTTGGTTTCCTAACCAGGGAAAAGGTTTGTAGCTTTTCTGGGGGAAAGAGGGCTGGTGCCACTCCAGGGAACTCATAGCTCCAGTGCTATGCTGGAGAGCAAAATGGGGGAGCATGGGCAGCCTCTTTTTCTTTAGACTTCTGAGTCCTCCTTGGTACCCATCATGGATGAAAACATATCTGTAGTTAATCCTCAGGACTGCGTGCTCAAAACCAGCATGCATGGGTGGGCATTCTGCCTACCCTGTCTCAAAGAAAGGTAGAGTGCTAAGGTAGACGAAGCAAGAGAGGAGTCCAGGGGCCTGATTAGAGCACCAAGCACCAAGCCCCAAGCCAAGGCTAACTCGTGGGTACTTCTGGCAAGTCACTTGCCCTCTTTAGGCCCTCCTGTTCCTGTCAAATGAGGAGGTGGGGTTTGATGATCTCTTTTATTGGGATCAGAGAGGTAGATAAACTCGTAGGTCCTGCTCTCTGAAGTTAATGTCAGCTAGGCCTCTGGCGGTGAGAAACACTGGGAAAGGTGATTATTTTTAATGTTTATTTATTTTTGAGGGGGGAGGGGCAGAGAGAGCAGGGCAGAGGATCCGAAGCAGGCTGCATGCTGACAGCAGAGAGCACTATGCAAAGCTCAAATCCACCAACCATGAGATCACGATCTAAGCCAAAGTCCCATGCTCAACCCACTGAGCCACCCAGGTGCCAGGGGGAAAGTTGATTTTTAAAGAGAGGTGAGAGGTTGGTAAAAGGCTTTACTTTCTATTTTACTGTCCTTCTCACTCCTACTCTGTTAGTAGTATTTTTAAGAGAAACACAGAGGAATTTCACAGCCCCTCACCACCTAATCTAAGTTCTCCCTTCCCCAAACACCCCCTCGAGCTTTCTTTTTTTCTTTAAGATTTTATTTTTAAGTAATTCCTACACCCAAAGTAGAACTTGAACTCACATCCCCGAGATCAAGAGGCCCATGCTTTATGGACTGAGCCAGCCAGACACCCCAGAACTATTCTGCCTTTTTATTTTTATTTTTTTTATTTATTTTTTATTTATTTCTAGGAGAGAGAGAGACAGCGTGAGCAGGGGAGGGTCAGAGAGAGAGGGAGACACAGACTCTGAAACAAGCTCCAGGCTCTGAGCTGGCAGTCAGCACACAGCCCGACGCGGGGCTCGAACCCACGAACCGCGAGATCATGATCCAAGCGAAAGTCGGACGCCCAACCGACTAAGCCACCCAGGCGCCCCACTATTCTGCCTTTTTAGAACACGGGTTGGTAACTTGGTCATGAGGGAAGTATTGGGACCTTGGAAAATACTGTGGAAGCCATGGATTTTTGCCCTCTCAAAAACTGTGCACAGGCAAATACGATATTTTGCATACAATTTCAGAATCTCACGTTCTATTTGCCCGCTCTAGAACTTCAAAGGCTGAGGTGGGTGTGTGGGTAAGCAAAAAAAGCGGGAGGGAAAATAAGAGGCCCACTCTAGGACCTGTTTCCCTTCCCAGCTCACATTCCTCCGCCCCAGTCCCGCTGCGCGGCCTCCGCTGGCAGCCGAGGCCCTAGTCTCCCGCTCCAACTATTTCAACCATCCTGGGAAGGGTGGGGCGCTCGGCTCTTGGGTCCCCCTCGGTCGCCCCCCTTCCCCACCATCGGTCTCCCCTTCTGTCCCGGTCCCTCCCTTTCTGGGGTGGGGCCAGCCAATGCGCTAAGAGATTCTGGGGTTTGGCTCCGGAGCCCGGGAGCTCACCGATTCCCCGCCCCACAGTTCTGGCCACCGTCCCGGTGCGCACGGACGTGGCTCGAGTTTCCTCGGCTCTCCGCTCTTTCTCGCTTTCCCCCCTCCCGCTCTTCCTCCTCTCCTGGGCTCCGGCTCCAGCTCCAGCTCCACCCGGCCGGCCCCGCACGGCTCCGGGTAGCCATGGAGGACACCCAGCTCCATATCATCGAGCAGCCGCTTCCCGGGTACCCCGAAGTCGGGGACCCGGGGTCCTCCCCTACGGGGGCGCCAGCGGCGGAGGAGCCGTCAGGGGCCGGCTCAGAGGAGCTGATCAAGTCAGACCAAGTGAATGGCGTGCTGGTGCTGAGCCTTCTGGACAAAATCATTGGCGCCGTCGACCAGATCCAGCTGACCCAAGCCCAGCTGGAGGAACGGCAGGCGGAGATGGAGGGCGCCGTGCAGAGCATCCAGGGCGAGCTGAGCAAGCTGGGCAAGGCACACGCCACCACCAGCAACACCGTGAGCAAGTTGCTGGAGAAGGTGCGCAAGGTCAGCGTCAACGTGAAGACCGTGCGCGGCAGCCTGGAGCGCCAGGCCGGCCAGATCAAGAAGTTGGAGGTCAACGAGGCCGAACTGCTGCGGCGCCGCAACTTTAAAGTCATGATCTACCAGGTGAGCTGGCGGGGCGGACCGCGCCTGGCCCACTGTCTCCGGGGCTTGGGGTGGGGGGGACCTGCCCGCGGTGCTGCGCTCCAGTCAGCCTGGCCCAGCTCGGAGGACCCACCCTTCTTCCCGCGAGCGCCGCTGGAGTGGGGCGGGGTGGGGTGGGGCGGAGTGCGGTGGGCGGCGGATTCCTGTAGGGTGCGGAGGAGCACGCTGTGCACCCCTCGCTTGCTCACCGAGCCCCCTCCCTCTGGTGACAAACTCGCTACGGAGTTAGGGGGCCGGACTCGGGGATGCTCCCCATCGCAGAGCGCTCCCAACTCGGCTCTGTCGAGTCTACCTACTTGGCGGAGGTTTTGGGGAAAGCCAGGGGTCCCTGGCGGCCGGTGGGCCCGCTGTAAGCGGACACTGGCGGCGCAGCCCGGGGTTTGGGGCCTCCGGCGCTGTTCGCCCGATATAGCGGGTGATTCAGGGCTCAGGCACGCATCCGCGGGGGCTGCGCCAGGCGAGGGACGCGACCGCCAGCACACGCCCCCGGACCCCGCGCCCTCGCGTGGGCCTCGGCTGCCCCCGCGTCCCCTCGCTGCGATCTGCCTCTGGCCTCCGGGCACTTTCAGAACCTTGGCGGTGCCGGCGGCGCGCCCAAACCCTTTGCCCGATGGAAGAAGGCGGAAGCGAAGGGGGGGCGGGGTGCGTTGTGAGAAGTGCAAGAGGGTCCCTGCAGGTCCGGCGATCTAGGCGCGGAGAATCACCCCGCTAGCCTCCCGGACCGCCTAGCCGCGGGCAGACGAGCGCGAGGAGGCTGGCGCGTCCCAGGCCCCGCCCAGGCCGCTTGTTGCTTCCTTTGCACCTCTCCGCGTCTCTCCCGCCCTATTAAAGCTTTTTTTAAAAAATCATAACCCCAAATAAACCAGGAAATCTCTGTCGCTGGCCCTCTCCGGTTTTCTCCCCAATCCCTTTAGAAGTGGGTCTGAGCTGAGGGCTCGGTGATCTTTGGTGGGGTGGGAATGTGCCCAGCCTCGCCTGCTCTGCTTCCCGCACGCCTGGTTGCCGTTGGAAGTGAGATCATGGGGATGAAGGGGTTAGTTAGTCTGTGCTCCCTCTGCCCCTTCCTCTCCTTACAGAAGGGAATGTAAAGAAAAGGAAGGCTAGATTTCCCACACCCCCTAGGAGAGAAAACCTGTCAGGAAGCTGTGGTTTCACTGCACCAGGGCCTGATCAAGCTGGGTTCTGCATAACCATCTGGGATTCAGTGAGGTTCTTGCCTTGGTCTCTCTACCAGCAGCTAAAAGAGATGCAGTGTTTGGGATCAGCAGACACAGGGAGAACGGTGAGCTGGCCTCTGAAGAGGTGGCGCTGGGACAGAGGAAGAAGTGGCGCTCTCCCCCCTCCTTCCAATGCCCTGGGACGACTCCCAAGTGGCTCAAGAAGTGCCCCCCACCTCTATATAGCACTATCTGGTAGAAAGTGTTTTTCTAGAGCTGTTTCCACTTAATCTAACTGCCGGGAGCAATGTGTATGTGAGAGATTTTTAAGAGAGCTGATTAGTACTGGGAGCATTGAGGAAAGAACACGCAGGAGTGTGGGACAGCCAGCCAACTCTTTTCTCCAGAGCCCTGTGGGCTAGAAGGTTGCCACGAAGGGCTTGGATAGGTTACCCTCCTCACTCTAAATATCCCAGACTGCACAACCTGGGAAAGTTCTTAGGCTCAAGGTAAACCTGTCAATGGTGGAGATGCTGAGAGAAGGGCAGGTACTTAGGTGGGGCCAGTGGCATCTCCATGACCCCCTGTTGGCAGTTGGCAGGGACCTGTACATCTTGTGTCTCCAGGGTAGGGGGTCTGATCAGAGGGTGGGTTTGACCCTGTCTGGACTGAACCAAGGCCAGTGGGAGGCAGAAGGCTGAGGTCAAAAGAATAACACAAGTCAGGGACCTAAGCCCCCAAACCACAGGAGAAATCACTAAGAAGTAACATGGTTCCAACCTGGAGAGGAGCTCAGAGGCAAGGAAAAGATTCCAGCAACAGCGGTGGGGCTCCGGGAAGCAGCACTTCCTTGAGCTGCAAAGCAGATGTCCCAGGTAGGGGCGAGGGTGTAGGGTCCTGCACTGCTAAAGGAAAAGCAGAGGCTGCTCCTCCGGGAGGTCTGGAGAGGAAGAGAATGAGGTAAAAATAGCTCTGCGCCTTGGCAGACCTAATAGGGAAGACTGGGGGTGGCAGCATTTATGGTAGTCAGGCTGAGGGGTAGGATGCTTGGGTGGCCAAACTGAGAGAGCAATTTGGAGAAAGGCCTGGGAGAGTGTGAGTTCTCCAGAGTAGCAACAGGGGAGGGGACGCTGTATTCCCCACTGCAGACGTGGGAGGTGATGATGTGGCCCTGGGGGTGGGGTGGAGGGGAGAATGAAAGGAGGGAGAAGGCCCCAGCTGTGGGATCAAGTCATCTGGCCTCTGATACCTTCTTCCTGGGGGATAAAGAAAGGAACCCCATATTCAAAGGACTGATAGGCATAATGATTTATAGGTTAAGTTTATATTTGACCTCCCCACCCCCGCCATGAAAATCAGCACCCTCCATCCCAGGATATCAGAGCCCCCACCCTGAATCCGCTTCTGAGTCATCACTGTCCTCTGGCATTTCCCTATCTCCCTAACAAAAACCAGCAGTTTGGCATCCCATCCTATCAGGTGACACCTAGCTAGGCAACAGCCAGTGAATGCAAAGAGCGAATTCTACCAGTGACTAGGGGTGAGCGGACTGAGAACTAACTGCTGGGGAGATGGGGCAGATCGTGGGCACTACGCAAACAGGAGGGGTAGTGATCATTAAAGAACCAACTCTTCCAGCCAATGACTTGGATATTATCAGTGTTCTTTTAGAATGCAGAAAAGGGGGCTAAAATGGAAAGAAACATTTTCTGGAGCAGTTTTGATGGGACAGTGACCTACACATGGCCCCATCAGACCTGCTCCAAGTGCTTGATAAAACCAGAAAGCATTTAAGGGATGAAGGGCTCATGGGCTTTATTTTTTTATTTTATTTTTTAATGTTTTATTTCTGAGAGAGAGAGAGACAGCGTGAGCAGAGGAGGGTCAGAGAGAGAAGGAGACAAAGAACCAAAGCAGGCTCTAGGCTCTGAGCTAGCTGGCAGCACAAAGCCCGACGCGGGGCTCGAACCCACAAACCATGAGATCATGACCTGAGCCAAAGTTGGACACTTAACCGACTGAGCCACCCAGGTGCTCCAAAGGGCCCATGGGCTTTAAAGGCGAGGGCACCAAGGCTGGAATGAGGGCTTTCCAGCTTTTCCTCCCTGAATCCTAACCTAACCTCTAGCTTCTTCCTGGACTTGAAGCAAATCAGGGCTCCCTCATTCCAGAAGAACTCCAAAGCTTTGTCCCAAAATGTTCCAATGTGGGGCTCTGGTCCCTCTCATCCCCTAAGCCTAGTCATGGAAAAAGTGCTTACCACATCCTTCCTCCAAAAAGCTGAGTTTTTCCTGGTCACTGGCTCCAAAGCAGGAGGGTGTTTTGGGGGGGGAATATTCTTAAGACCAAAGGAAAATAATATTCCCCCCTCCCTGTTTTTTTTTTCTTTATTCTTTCTCTTTCTTTCGTAAATAAAATCTGACTATTGTACAGGTCAAAATCAAAAGGATGCAATGGCACAGAGTAAGCAACTGATAGAAATGAGAGGATACTGTTGCTAGGCAACCTACCTCAAAGATGAGTGGTGGTTTGTTCCCTTTTATTGAACCATACCACTGTGAATATTTTGTTATTCTGTCATTACAGACTTTTTGAGCTGGAAGATACTTCAGAGATAATAAATTTCTGCTCTTTCATTTTGTAGCTGGGGATGTGGAGGCCCAGAGAGGGGAAGTCACTTGCCTACTGTCACTGAAGTTAGTGAGGGTCAAAGCTGGGGCCAGAACCCACGTGTACCCCTTCTGCTATATTCTCTGCTCCTCAAATCCTCCTTCCATTCCCAGGCTCTGCAGCAGAAGTCAGGGTGCCCGTTATCCAAGAAAGGATTAGTTCTGGCTCCTTCATTCTCTAAGGGAGATAGCTGCAGGGTCCTGGCACTCAGGCTGCTGTGTGTGTATGTTTGTGTGCGTGCACACACGCACCTGTGTGCACACGTGTGCAACGTTGGCTAAGAGGGGCTAAGGTTGGTGGCCATTACTCAGCCTCATAGTGCTGAAGTAGAGGCAATGACCAATGACAGTGGCCCAATGACAGTGGGACGGGAGGGGTGTAGAGGATAAGGCCTCAGCCTCCCTGTCACTTGCCCCTTCTCCTTGTACTCCACAGGGCAGATTGGCATCCGCTGCTTTGTGTTTTTGTGGCTGTGAACCTTTACCCTGTCACTGGAGCCTGATGATGCCCCTAACTGTCCCTATCCCTGACTTCTGATGGCCCAAAGCAAGAGTGGTAGCTCAGCCCCTCCGGAGGGATAATAGGAGCTGATGCTAGGTCCTCCAGGATGTAGGCCCACCTGTCATAAAAATAACTTGGTTTTTGTTCCTGATTTCTCTGTGCATCTTGAGCTTTGATATCCCAGGCGTGGGGAGTGGGAGGAGTGACAAGGGAGGCCAGAGGTGGGGATGTGGCCAAAGGGAAACAGCCAGGACATCCCTCTTCCAAGCCTTCCCCTCTCCTTATCCGGGGCGGCACCCAGTGTCTACCCTGCCCCAGGGGAACAAGAACTGGGAGCAAAAGCATAGGACTGTGAAGACAGTGGAGTTGTTTGCCTACTTGTCTTCTTTTCCATTCATCAGGGACTCCACAGCTAGAGTCAATAACTAGCCTCTTAGAGAACTCCTTTTCCATCCCCAGCAGCCTCTTACCCCCTCACTCCAGTCCTCAATAGCATCATCCCAAGACCACAGCTGGGTAGGGACAGAAGGTAGGAGGCCAAGGGTCCTGGCACTCAGGCTGCTGTGTGTGTGTGTGTGTGTGTGTGCGCGTGTGTGTAAGATTCTAGATGGAGGGAGAGAGGCGCTTTGTTTA